CACAGTGAGTGCGGGGCCCTGGGGGGGTCAGGCAGGGGCTCAGCAGGGCAGAGTCCCGCTGAGGTGTCTTGTCTGCCAATGGGGGGTGGTGGTCTACAAAGTTGTGTTGGTGTATTCGCTGGTCATCTGCCTCCCGTGTGTAAGTGACCCCTCCCCGACAGTACAAGCCACCCTGCAGGGGGCAGGGACCCAGCTCAGAGACGTCCAGGCCAGAAAGGAGCAGCTGGCAGCCCAGATCCGGAACACGCAGGCCATGCTGGCCATGGACACCGGTACGGGGCCTACCTGACCCCCCTCTTAAATCGGCCCATTGGGACTCTGACAGGGGCGTTGTCCAGGGGCCTGGCGACTTGGCAGTGTTCGGGCCAGTGCTGTCAGCAGAGAAACCGGCTGAGACCAGAGGCTCCCGGGTGTCCGGCCTTGGTCTGAGGGAGGAGTGCCCTCTCGGCTGTGGGCAGGGCCTCTGGGTGGAGTGGGTTTGTGGCCTGATGGTTGTTCTTCCACCCTCGGGGAGGCTGTCCCCATGTCTGCCCTGGGGTGACCACTAGGGCCCTGACAAGGCACCACCGCCCTATTCCCCATAGACGCAACAAGCGAGAAAATCGCCCATGCCAAGGCCGTGGCCACCAAGGCCCAGGACACGGCCAGGCGTGTCCAGTCCCGGCTCCAGGACATGCAGAACAACCTGCAGAGGTGGCAAGGCCAGTTTGGAGACCTGCAGGGCGAGGACCTGGACGAGGCAGTGCAAGATGCTGGCCGCTCAGGTGGGCACCCTGCTGGAGCCTCAGAGCGCACCTACTCTGCCGGGCTGCTGGCCCCGGAGCAGGTGTTGGGGGACCTCCTGAGCCAGGTGTGGTGTGGGCGGCATCCTCATGACCACTTTACACTGCAGTGTCCACCCTGGAGAAGACGCTGCCGCAGCTGCTGGCCAAACTGAGCCAGCTGGAGGGCCGGGGTGGCCACAATGCCAGCCTGGCCCTGTCCTCCAGCATCGCAAAAGTGCGGCAGCTCATTGCCCAGGCCCGGGGGGCAGCCAACAAGGTAGGCAGGGCCTGGGGGTGCACAGGTCAGAGGGTGCACGGGCTGGGGGTAGGGTGGGAGGTGAAGAGTGAGGACCCTTGGGTGCTGACAGGCTGCTGTGCTCCAACCCAGGTCAAGGTGCCCATGAAGTTCAACGGGCGCTCAGGGGTGCAAGTGCGCACGCCCCGGGACCTGGCTGACCTCGCCGCCTACACCGCCCTCAAGTTCTACCTGCAGAGCCCAGAGCCCGCGCCCGGCCACACCGCCAGGGACCACTTTGTGCTGTACCTGGGCAGCCGACAGGTAGGGCAGGTACAGAGGCCTCCGGATGGGCTGGACAGGGGCCCTGGCCCGTGGCCTCACCGAGCCCCACCCACAGGCCAGCGGGGACTACATGGGCGTGGCTTTACGGGACCAGAAAGTGCACTGGGTGTACCGCCTGGGGGAGGCGGGGCCCACGGCCCTCAGCATTGACGAAGACATCGGGGAGGAGTTCGCCACCGTCAACATCGACAGGTCGGCCCCTCCCAGCGCCCAGTCCCACCTCTGCTCTGACCCCACCCCAGCCCCACCCTGCACAGGCGGCTCGGCCCCACCCCGCCTCACGCGGTCTTCCGTGGCGCACCACGGCGGCTCTGACCGCCTTGCGCCTGCCCCCAGGACCCTCCAGTTTGGCCACATGTCCATCACGGTGGAGAAACAGATGGTCCAGGAGACGAAGGGTGACACAGTGGCCCCGGGGCCCGAGGGGCTGCTCAGCCTGCGGCCGGATGACTTTGTCTTCTACGTGGGTGGCTACCCCAGCAACTTCACGGTGAGCCTGCCCCGCTGTCTGGGGAGTCCTTTCTGGAGTCCAGCCGCAGTGCCGCCTGCTGCAGCCTGAACTCTCTTCCCTGCCGCGCCCTGACTGTGTGGTGCCTACAGCCGCCCGCTCCCCTGCGCTTCCCCGGCTACCGCGGCTGCATTGAGCTGAGCACGCTGAACGAGCAGGTGCTCAGCCTGTACAACTTCGAGAGGACCTTTCGCCTGGATACGGCCGTGGACAAGCCTTGCGCCCGGTACGTGGGCCTGCCCGCCCACCCTCCTCGCCCAGACCGGCTTCCCCCGGCTCACTCTCCCTCCAACACACAGCTCCAAGTCCACGGGCGACCCCTGGCTCACGGACGGCTCCTATCTGGACGGCACCGGCTTTGCGCGCATTGCGTTCGAGAGCCAGATTGGAACCACCAAGCACTTCGACCAGGAGCTGCGGCTCGTCTCCTACCACGGGGTGGTCTTCTTCCTGCAGCACCAGGCACGGCGTCCCGCCCCCACCAATACTGCCGCCCACCCAGGCCCCGCCCACCTGGTCCGTCCAACCAGCACTCACCGTGGGCGCTGGGCCCGCCTGCCTCACTCAGGCCCCGCCCACCCCAGGCCCGTCCAACCAGCACTCACCGTGGGCGCTGAGCCCGCCTGCCTCACTCAGGCCCCGCCCACCCCAGGCCCGTCCAACCAGCACTCACCGTGGGCGCTGGGCCCGCCTGCCTCACTCAGGCCCCGCCCACCCCAGGCCCGTCCAACCAGCACTCACCGTGGGCGCTGGGCCCGCCTGCCTCACTCAGGCCCCGCCCACCCCAGGCCCGTCCAACCAGCACTCACCCTGGGCTCTGGGCCCGCCTACCCCACTCAGGCCCCGCCCACCAGGCAGGGCAGGCCCCCAACGACACAGCCACACTCACCCTGGGCTGGCCCCGCCCCACACCCTGGGGCCCCGCCCACCAGCGTGGAGCCTGCCCGCCTCACCAATCCCCTCTGCCCCTGTGTTTCCCGTGCTGACCACGCCCATACTCCCAGGGCCAGTTCCTGTGCCTGGCGATGCTCCAGGGCCGCCTGGTGCTCCTCTATGACTTCGGTGAGGGCCTGAAGGAGGCTACCCCCACGCTGCCCTCTCCGCCCACACTGACCGTGGCCAGCAAGGCGGTGAGGCCCCGGGCCGAGAGGGGGTGCCAGGGTGTGGGTGGCGCTGAGCCTGCCTGACAGCTCGTGCTGGCACTGCCCAGGTCCAGGTGTACCTGCTGGTCAGGCCCCGCAAGCGGGTGCTGGTGCGCATGGAGCGGGTCCCGGTGTTCAGCGTGGTGCAGGAGAACTCTCTGGAGCTCGCCAGCTCCTACTACCTGGGGGGCGTGCCACCTGACCTACTGCCCCCCAGGTGAGCCTGTTGCCCTCTTTGGGGGCCCCCACCCCTCAGCCCGCCCCCGCCACCCCACCCTGTGCACCTCCTCCCTAACCCTCGCTCTGCCCCCACCCCTCAGCCTGAGGCAGCTCTTCCCCACTGGAGGCTCCGTCCGTGGCTGCGTCAAGGGCATTAAGGCGCTGGGCAAGTATGTGGACCTCAAGAGGCTGACCACCACAGGCATCAGTGCCGGCTGCACAGCCGACCTCCTGGTAAGGCCGCCACCGTGACCCGCCGCCGGCTGCCCTGGCACACGCATCCTTGCAGCCACAGGGATACTCAGAGAGGTGCCCTCCCTGCAGGTGGAACGGGCCATGACCTTCCATGGCCATGGCTTCCTGCCCCTGGACCTCCCAGACGTGGCCCCCATCACAGGCGACGTCTATGCCGGATTTGGCTTCCGAACCCTTCAAGACAATGGCCTGCTCTTCTACCGAGCCTCCCCGGTTTGTCTCTGCCCACAGTGCCAAGCCCCCTGGCTGCCCATCTGTGTTTGCCCCACGCCCATGAGTGATTCTCTTCCTCCTAGGCTAGCTCCGCCCCTCTCGAGTCTGACACCCACCCAGAGAGCCTCTAGTTTGACTCCACTCCTCTCACGTCTGACCCCAAGCCCCCCACCTCCAAGTCTGCCCTCGGGGCGTCTGGAGGAGTCACTGTGGCACTGGGTAGGCCCACTGACCTGACCACTGTCCCCAGGATGGCCTGTGCCAGGTGTCCCTGCAGCAGGGCCATGTGACACTCCAGCTTATGAGAACAGAGCTGAAAACGCCGGGGGGCTTTGCCGATGGGGACCCCCATTACGTCATCTTCTACAGCAATGCTACTGGGTAAGTGTGACTTCCTGGGGCGCCCAGCCGTCTCCTGGGGCCGATGGGCCAGCTGGACGCGGAGCAGGGACTCACCACCCCATTGCCCAGGGTCTGGCTCTACGTGGATGACCAGCTACAGCAGATGAAGCCCCGCCGGGGACCGTCCCCTGGACTCCACCTGCAGCCAGAAGGGCCACCCCGCCTCCTCCTGGGAGGCCTGCCGGAGTCTGGAACATTCCGCAACTTAAGCGGCTGTATCAGCAACGTCTTTGTGCGGCGGTGAGTGACAGGGCTGAGCCGTGGGCAGGGGTGGGGTGAGCTGGGCGTCCCATTGACCCTGCACCCCCCCACAGGCTGCTGGGGCCCCAACGGGTGATGGAACTGCAGCAGAGCCCTGGGGGTGTCAACATGAGCACCGGCTGTGAGCCCAACCCTCGTGCCCGCGCCCGGGACCCAGCACCGCAAGGACTGCAGGCCCCAGCACGGAAGGTGGGCCCGAATTCCCGCTGAGGCCGCTGGGAGGCCAGTGGGGGCGGAGGGGGAGGAAGGTGGGCACTCAGGAAGCCCCTGCTTCACTCCTGTCCCCAGGCCTCCCGCCGTAGCCGCCACCCTGTCCTGGATCCTGCCTGCACGCTGCCCCCCACCCCCAGGAGCCTCCAAGACACCTTCCAGTTTTGGGGGGTCCCATCTAGCCACCTGGAGTTTGCAGTCTCGAGTAGGGCCTGGTAAGGCTGGGGCTGGCAGATGAGGGGGGGTGGAGATAGGGACCAGGCCTGCCTGGGAGTGGGCACCACCCCCTGACGTGCTCTGGGTCCCAGGTCCCAGGTCTCCATGTTCCTGAGGCCACGCTCCCCCCATGGCCTCCTGCTGCTCTTGGCCCCCACGATGCCCGGCAGCCCCTCCCTGGCACTCTTCCTGAGTCAGGGCCATTTGGTGGCACAGACAGAGGGGCCTGGGCCCAGGCTCCATGTACAGAGCCGACAGCCGCTGCAAGCTGACCACTGGCACACGGTGAGTGCTGTGGAGGGGTTGGGGACAGGTAGGGGACGCCTGAGAGGGGCTGAGGAGATGGGCAGGCCCTGACACACACACACACACACACAGGTGTCTCTGCGCTGGGAACAGAGCCGCATCCAGCTGGTCACAGATGGGGCCCGGGTCCAGAGCCAGAGGGGCCCCCGCCACCGTCAGCAGCACCTCCGGCCCAGCACCCTCTTTGTGGGGGGTCTTCCGCCCAGCAGCCAACATTCCCAGCTCCTGGTGAGAACTGCTCCCAGTCCCCACTCACCTACCTGCAGGGGTCTGCCATCTCTTTCGGCAGTGGCGCCTAACTCTGCCCTCTGCTGCCTCCTGCCTTCAGGTGGCCCTCAACAGCTCGGGGTTCAGTGGCTGTGTGAAGAGGCTCAGGTGGCACCGGCAGCTGCTGGGGCCCCCCATTCGGTTGGCGGGGGTCACACCTTGCTATACAAGCACCCTGGAGGCCGGCCTCTTCTTCTCTGGGAGTGGCGGCATCCTCATGCCAGGTCTGTGCCATGCTGGCTGCCAAGGTGGGTGGGCTGGTGCGCAGGAGGGAGGGGCATCTCCCCCTCTGCTCATCTGACCTGTCTGTGCAGACGTCCCTGCAGTCCCGGGGCCCCGCCTGGAACTGCAGCTGGAGCTTCGTCCCCGTGCCACCAGCGGCCTGGTCTTCTATTTAGGCCAAGGCCAGGGGTTCCCCTACCTGCAGCTGCAGGTGCTAGAGAAGCAGGTGAGCAGGGGGGTGCCTTGCTAGGACGGGCCGTGGACTCAGGAAGTCGGGGCTGTCACCCACCACACCTGTTCCCCACAGGTCCGGCTCCAAGGGGATGATGGGGCAGGCAAGTACCTCACAATGGTGGCAGTCCCCGAGGTGCTGTGTGGTGGCCGGTGGCACCGCCTAGTAGGTGAGCACCCACAGGGAGGGGAGCCCCTGAACCTCCCAACCCGTGCTGGTGGGGGAGGGATGGGCTCACGAGGTGCCTGTGCCACAGTGACGAAGGACAGGGCCTCAGTCCGGCTGGAGGTGAACTCCAAAGGCAATGCCACCCTGGTCCCAGCGCCGGCCTCGGCCCTCGCCACCCTCAGGCCTTTGTACCTGGGCAGTCTGCCTGGTGAGTGTGGGCTCCAAGGGGCTACGGGTGACATAGGAGTGGGGGTAGCACGGGGGCCTGGGGGTGCCATCCCTCCTTCTACTAGCTTTCCTCTCCCCATGCACCCTAGAACTAACAGGTGCACCCCCACGACCCACGGCCTACCGCGGCTGCATGAGGAACTTTCTGGTCAACGGACACCCCATCAACACACAGTCTGCCCACATCTGGGGGGCGGTGGGGGTGGGCAGCTGCCCAGTCTCATAGTGCGGAGCTCCCAAGGACAGGGCTGGCCCTCCCAGAGACATGCCCATCTTTGGAAAGGGTGTTTTTAATGAAAGGATAAAATGGGGTTTTTGTATTTTCTGTCTCTAACTGGTTGAATGGGGACCTTTCCTTTCACCCCTAAGGGGGGCGAGCCGTGCGACACAGGCCCGCTGCTGGAAATAAAACCACTTGTGTCATGGAGTGTGGACTCTGTACATTGAATTCACACAGCAGAGCCGGAGTCACGCTGGCCGGAGTCCGCCGCTCACATAGACCTCTCAAAGCAGTGCCTACTGCCCTTGACCCCGCCCTTCTCGAAGCCTCCCATTTGGCCAGAGTCGCCAGCCCAGGGGGCCCCATGCACACAAGGCCCCTGAGTTAGCAGGTACAAGAAAAGATCTTTTATTAACGAGGAAAGTGGGTGAGGAGTCACAAAAGCTAAAGGAGCCGAGCCACTGACGAGCCGTCCAGGTGGGCAGGAGCGCTGTCCTAGTCTAAGCTCATGTCCTCCTCCTCGTCCTTCTTGTCTTTCGCCTCGCCCTCTTTCGGCTCCGACCTGGCGCTGTTCTGCATCGCCTTGGCAAACGCTTCCACGTCTAGAACACGTCAACATGCCAGGACCGCTTCCCCACACACGCCTGCCCCAGCACTGCCCACCGCCAGGAAGACCCAGGGCCAGCTGCATGGCGTGGCTGGGTACTCACCACCCTTGTTGGCTGCTTCCACGGCTTCTGCAGGCAGGCCAAACTGGCACATGAGGGGGCCCAGCTGCCCCGAGGCCAAGGCCGCGCTGAACATGCCCAGGGCCTACGGAAGATCAGAGCTGGAACATGCCCCCCAGCTCGATGGTACACGTGCGGTGCTGCACACCTCCCCCAGACAGGCAGCTGGTCATGCCCCCCACGCCCCAGCATCTCACCTGCTGGAACTGGGGTGAGGTCAGCGTGTTCTGGATCTCCTCTGCCGTCTGGGGCAGCGACTCCCCAGAAGGCAGGTAGGGCAGCAGGCGCTCCTGGACGTCGGCGTTGGCGAGGATGGGCGCCATGATCTCGGGCGTGAGCACGCTGGCCAAGTCAACTAGGGTGCAAAGGCAGTGGGGTGAGCGACAGACAGGCGGGGCCCCTGTCGCCGTGG